AAACCAAATGTTAGTCACAGATATGGCCTACTGATTTTCTAATCAAGGCAAATGTTACCTGGATGCCTAATAATGCCAAATCTCGGGATATCCCAAGGAAAGCATTCATTACTAAATAAAGAGGGGCTAGCGCACAGAGAGCGAAAAAAACCTAAAATTTTCCTGTGCCTGTTCCAAGGACCATTTATACTGCTGGGCATTTCCCCATATTTTATTTTAATCTTAACAACACTGGAGGTTGCTTCTTTTTAAGTGGTCATATCCCGGTTTATGCCTATTGTCCTTAGTGACACTGTACTTCTGTTATCTATATTTTATGGTTAAATGGAAACTAAAGGAAGGAAAGGATTCTGTGCACGGTTCAAAGCCAGAACACCCCTCCCTTCTGCAGTTGGATTTCTTCAGTGGATATCCCATTCATACCTCATCCAACTACAACTCTAATACACCACCATTTTGCTGTTTGCTGAATTATGGAAACTCAAGTCCTTATCTTATTTGACCTCTATGTAAGTTTTCACACTGTTTACCACTCCGTCCTCTCAAGTATCCTCTCCCTTGCTTCCATGGCACCATTTTCCTGGGTCTTTCTCACCGCACTGGCTTTTCCTTCGGAGTCTCCTTCTCCCCTTCTTTAGATCTTGTTCCTCCCAGGCCCTCTACTCAGATCACATTTCATTCTTGAAGTGATCTTATCTTTGACTTTAGCATTAGTTATTCTGCTGATGATTCACATACCTATAACTCTAGCCCAGAGCTCTCTTCAGGATCTAGTGTCATATATCCAGTAAGATCTAGACATCTGTATTTGCATGCCCAAAGTGACTTCATACAGCTAACTAAAAATAGATCATCTTCCTCTCCAATCAGATTCCTCTTCTAGCATTCCCTTTCTCCATCAGTGGACTTATCATCTCAGTCATGCTGTCCAGAAACTTGGGTGTCACCCTTGACTGCTCTTTATGTGCCAGACTCCCTCCAGTAAATTACTGAGTTGTACAATTCTTTCTTAACTTCAGGTCATATTCTCTGATCCCCACTGCCACTAACTTAGTTCCAGCGACCTTCATTGCTTTCCTGGACTGCTGCACTAGCATTAGACTCTGTCTCCACATTCTTCCCCTCACTTTTTCTTCCCTCCAATCCATTCTCTTGACGTAGTCAAGTCACTTTAAAAATGCAAATCTTATCATGCCATTCTGTATAAAATCCTTGACTCTGAATATACTGTAAAATGGTGAATTTTATAGTATGTGGATTATATCTTTTTAAAAAAACACACAAAAACAACCTGGTTTACAAAGCCTCCCATGACCTGGTCTGACTTTAATGTCTCTCATTGTCCATCCTTCCAGGACCTCCCATCTCCTCGTAGCTTTACTCCTCTTTGCATTTCTGCTTCTGAGCTCTCCACAAACTGTCTCGCCTCTAAACTGTGCTTTTATGCCATTTATTCTTTCTCTTTACCCTCTTCTTCCTCTTTACTTGGCTACCTCATCCTTGTCCTTCACGTCTCAGTTTGAGATGATGCTTCGACAAAAAGCCTTCCCTGATCTCCCCAGACTGGGTTTGGGTGTTCTTGAGGCATTTCATACTTAGCCCTTTTGTAGCATTCACCACATTATATTTGTTAATTTTATTAATATTGATTAATTGCTCTGGGCTGGGCACTGGGCTAGGGATGTGGTCCCTGCCCTCCTAGAACTTTAGTCTCAGAAGGAAGGAAGATGGACATTAAACAATAAACTAAATACTTGATTGAGAAAAAAAGAATTCATGGACATGGACAACAGTGTGGTGACTGTGGTGGGGGAGGTAGGGGAGTGGGTGGAGGTGCAAGTGGGTATATGGGGGATAAATGGCGATAGAAAAATAATAATAAAATAAATGGAAAGCCCAGCTGGTGTGGCTCTATGGTTGAGCGTCGACCTATGAATCAGGAGGTCATGATTCAATTCTGGTCGGACTGGATCCCCAGTGTGGGGTGTGGAGGAGGTAGCTGATCCACGATTCTCTCTCATCATTCTATCTTTCTCTCCCTCTACCTTCCTCTCTCAATTCAATAAAAAAAAATATGTATTTTTTTAAAAAAGAAAAAATACAAAAGCAAAAGCAAAAAGCTAAATATTTGAATTGTAACTTAGGATGTTTTAGGGCAGCCTGAGAGGGTGTGATAAAAGATTTGTTATAATTGAAGGGATCAGGAAAGACTTCTCAGAGAAACTACCATTTAAGCAAAGACTAAGCAGCAGGAGTTGGCCAAATGATGAGTGGAGACGAATGTTGTTCCATGTAGAGGAACAGCATATGAGAAAGCCCTGGCAGAAAGGTGCTTTGGGGGATTCCAGGAACGTAAAGGCCATTGTGGAAGACAGAAGAGCATGGAGGAGCCAAGTCATCACCTTGTGGATGACAGTAAGGGCGTCCCTACATCCTCGTAAGAGGAATAGGAAGTCTTGGCAGACTTCAAAGAGGAAACTTTTCAGCTTTTCTGGGCTGTTGTGTACAAGTGAAAGCAAGATGACAAGAGGCTCACAAATTTCCCTGAATGTCCCACTAAACTATAAGCTTCTGGGGGCAGAAATTGTCTTATTAATTAGTGTATTCACAGGGTCCAGCACTACATGACACTAGATGCTCAGTATTATATTAATGAATTGAATAAATGGGAGGTGGGGTCAGGATTCCAACTTAGGTTTTCAAAAAAGGCTCTACTCAAGTATCGACTCCCCACCTCCCACTTACAGCCCTTCAAAGCCCACTTCTCCATCCACACCCCAGACTATTTGGGTATCCCTCCTTTTGCCTCCAATGCATCTGGTTGATTATATTTTCCAAAAATGGCCATCATAATATTCAATATCCAAAATGCTCTTAATTACAAAATAATTTTGACACTTCCCACTGAGAAGTGAGGTCTACTTCCCTTCCCTTGGATCTGAGGCAAGGCGGTGTAAGGTGATTCGGCTTCCTCTTGGCTCGCTTGGGATGCTTGCTCTTAGAACCCAGCCCCCATGATATGAGGGGCCGCCCTGCCCCACACAGAGGCCCGCATGGAGAAGAGCCCAGAGCCAACATCAACTTGCCAGCCATGTGAGTGAGCCATTTTGAAAGTGAATCCTCCAGCTTCCAGCAATCCACGCAATTGACACCTTTTGGAGTGGAAATGAGCTATCCCACTAAACCCTGCCCGAATTACAGGTTCATTAGCAAAATAAATGATGGTTGTTTTAAGCCATTAAGTCTTGAGATGGTTTTCTTAAGCAGGGATAGGTAACTGGAACAGCATCCTATGTTTATCATGCAGGGAGGTGGTGCAACTCGGTAATTGTGGGTGGCCTATGACTATCTGGTTCAAAGCCTACCTCTGCTACTTACTAATTGTATGACCTTTCGCAAATTACTTAACCTCTCTGTGCTTCAATTTCCTTCTTTTTTCAATGTAAATAATATAGGACTTAAGTTTGTTGTGAGGATTAAGTGATAATGCAGGTAAATGCAGATTTATAGGTAATACAGAGCAATCTTTGTGATCATCTCAGACAAGCCTTGATCGTTCCACCATTCTTCTCATGTGATTCTAGTTTTTGTCTTTATAGTACTTTTGGTATTTGTGTGTGTGTGTGTGTGTGTGTTTACATAGGTATTTATATACATACATATACGAATATAGTGTATAGCTTTCAGTACTGTCTGAAATGTCTACTTGTTTATTGTTTCCCCACCAGAGTGTAAGTCCCAATAAAGCAGGAGACTTACTTGTCACTTTCACTGCTGTATTTCCAGTATGTGGAACGGTGCCTGGCACAAAGTGCTTAATAATTTTTGTTAATGAATGGATGAATAGCATGTTCACACTAGTTCCTACCCAGTATCCATTCTCTCCTTCCACAGTAGTGGACCCTGCTTTTGTTGTGGATGTCGATATAAAATCCTGTCCCAGATTCCATTGCAGCTAGGGGTTATTGTGTAATGTATTTCTTACCAATGAGACATAGTCAAAGGTCTGCTAAGGATGCCTGGGAAATTTTTTGCTTAATATAGGCATTGCCCTTTCTTCCTTCTTCTTTTCCTCCTTCCTGCCCAAAATCCAGGCTAGAAGGAGAACAGCCCCAAAGACCATAAACATGAGAACAAAAACAGGAGCTACCTGAGATGTTAATGAATTATCTAGTGGAGTCACTATACCACAAACACTCTATGTGAGGAAAAATTAACCCCTCATAGTTAAGCCCCAGCAGTCAGCCTTCTGTTACTTTCAACCAAATACATTCTCAACTACAGTGGAGTAATATCAACCCTCTAGGCTGTTTATTAAGGGCAAGGGACTAGTTCATCTTCCTTACTATTCTATAGAAGGATTAGAAGAATTTACCAGCACAAATGATATTATTCAGGTCTCTTCAGCTCCTTCAAATAGTGAGAGTGGGCAAAAAGCAAGGGATACCACATTATCTGAATCTATTTGGCTCGTGAGTTCAGTCATTTTAAATAGTGGGGGTAACGTGTGCCATTCATTCCTGAAACAAACATGTATTTCTTGTACTCTTGGCCAGGCATTATATGGCTTCAGATGATTGAAGCTGGATGTCCAAGTTCCCACTAAACATTAAGCTCCCAAAGGGCAGGAGCTGAGCTGTTCCCAGTAAGAGATTTAAAAAATATATTTTATTGATTTTTTACAGAGAGGAAGGGAGAGGGACAGAGAGTCAGAAACATCGATGAGAGAGAAACATCAACCAGCCGCCTCCTGCACACCTCCTACTGGGGATGTGCCCACAACCAAGGTACATGCCCTTGACCGGAATCGAACCTGGGACCCTTCAGTTCACAGGCTGACGCTCTATCCACTGAGCCAAACCGGTCTGGCAAGAGATTTAATTCTAGCAGTCTCTCTGCCATCTTGTTCCTCATCTCAATCTTCTTTACCTCTGACCCCACTGCAGTGGTCTGACCTCACTTATTCCCATTCCCCAGCCTTTTTTTTTTTTTTTTTTTTAGTGTTTCCCATGTGCCTAGAATACTCAGTACTTGGACTGCATATCTATTTGTATTTTGAATTCCTCCTAATCTTTTACTTCCAGATTATTCAGATTTCAAATTATCTGCTTTTTCTACAATGAAATCTCCGTATGCTCCTGCTGGTCCATTATAAAGTGGCTGTTCTTCCAACATGAAACATCTGTGCGGTTTACCGTAAACTCAGCTGTGGTGCTGGGTGCATTAACCTGACCCTGATGTCATGACGGGTGTTGTGGTCATAAGCACAAATGATAGATCCCCTCACTCAGCCCCAAGGTACATCCAGACCAGAATTTGGGACAGTAGTAAAATGTTTCAGACCAATCATAAACTATGCCCCAAAGAGTAAATCTTTAGGAATTGCTACCATGGGAACACAGATATAACAGGTTGAGGTAGACTATTGAGACAAGTGCCAGGAATCCTAGGATGACACTGTATCGTCACCTTTCATATTTTATTTTTGAAGGTCTATTTTTTGTTAATCCTTACCCACGGGTATTTTTCTGAGGATATTTTTCCATTGAGTTTTAGGGAGAGTAGAGGAAGGGGAGAGACAGAGAGAAACATCAGTGTGAAAGAGACACATCCACTTGTGCACTAACCGGGACGGTTTCGAGGTACGTGCTCTTGACTGGAATCGAACCTGGGACCCTTCAGTCCGTAGGCTGACACTCTATCTACTGAGCCAAACCAGCTAGGGCTGAGGGGAGGGACAGGGAGGGTATCTTTAAAATACTTGTGTGTGTGTGTGTGTGTGTGTGTGTGTGTGTGTGTGTACTGTTCAGGGGCAGGAGAGGTTGGTCCAGTTTGAAAGACTGATGGAAATTATAGCACCTTTCTTCAAAATAATACACATCTGTACACATACACACAATATTTAGAAACCATTTCTGTAGGTCCAGGTTAAGAATCCACCTGTGATTTGCCATGAGGGTGGAAACTTTTTCAACAACATAATTTGGTCCTTTATGAGGTACAATTTTCATTTCTCTTTTGTGTGTGTTTTATCCCATTGAGCAGGCAAGCTTCCTGCAAGGAACATTAAAAAACAAACAAAAAAACCCGACCCTTTTTATTACCCCTAGTGATGTATGTATATAGGGCCGAGACTTGTGGGAAATATTTGCCAATTGAGTCCTTTGAAGCTGCTATGATTTACTGTGGAAAGGCAAGCTTTCAATATTCTGCCACCCCACTTCCCACCAGAACAAAAGAGACCCTGTACTCAATGTTCTGTTTACTTAACAAGTTTTAGGCCAAGGCATTATTTACATACTCTTCATACAGACATCCCGTTTGGACATTTAGGGAACATAGTAGTGCCTAGTGGGAAGCTTTATAGCCCCCCACCCCAAAAAGTAAATATTAATAAACAAATGCACTCTATTACCTTAAAAATCTGTGGTCTTTATTCCTTCCATAGCTCCATGCCTCACCCCATGCATACCCACACCTGTAATCAGATCCTCTACTTATCCCATGATTTTTTAAACATTAATTAACATTTTTTTGTTTTGTTCATTCTCACACCAGGATATTTTTTCCACTGACCTTTAGAAAGAGTGGAAGGGGGAGGAGGGGTCAGGAGAGAGAAACGTCTGTTGGTTGCTTTCTGCATGTCCTGACCAGCGGATCAAATCTGCAACCAGGTATATGCCCTTGACCAAAAATGGAATCTGCACCTCTCCAGTGCGAGGCTCTAACCACTGAGAACACAGGTCAGGGCTGAATTTTATTTCTCAAACTACTGTACATTCCTTTCCTGGTATGTGCTTGCAGGAAAAACGAAAAACTGGAATAAACCTAATGCTAATTGAATAATGGCCTGGTAGTTTTTCCTTTTTTTCAGATCCTTCCCTCCCACCTATAAATTTCAAAAGGGCCATCTTTAATCCTAACCTCTAGAATTTGCAAGTGTTTTCCCTCCTCCAGTCCCCTCCCTGACTTTGTAGGCAGTTACAGCCACCTAGTGGCCATATGGGAAATGACAGATTACTCCAAAAAGCTGGTGAGAGGAAGAACCTCATGGAATAATTTTTGGTCTTAAATCTATGGAGAGCAAGGAAAGAGAAACCTGTGGATAGAGACTGTGGCACAGGACCCAGACATCCTATTTCTTGGCCCCACCTTGCCTCCTAGGATGCAACATCCCATTCACTGGTTATTATAAACAAATGAATTCACTTAACATTTGAGTTCATTCAATCAAAATTTATTGAGCAGCAACTGTGTGCCTAACACTTGGAATACAGCAAGAAACGAGTTGGACACGATTAATGCTCTAATGATATAGTCTAGCAGCCAGCTAGCCAGCCAGCCAGCCAATTACATCCATAATTTTAACCCAGAGGTGATGATAGCTTGGAAAAAGGAAGATGGATTCCAGAGATATTTAGGAGTTATAGTCTACTTGGAGAGTGACTGGTTGTGTGAGGAGAGGGATGTGTTTCTGGCAACGGGTATTGAAGTAGGAGACTCTGGAAGAGGGACAGATCCCATAGCCATAGGTCCTGAGGATGCATAGGCCTACAACAACAACATAGCTTTGGTTCTCAAATAGTTTAGGATTTAACTGGGCAAACATGATGCACACAAAACAACTGTAGAGTTGATTAAACATCAAAATGATTCTGGTAATTCATGGACTCTAGCAATACATGGGACTAAAAGAATCCCTCAATCCTCACCTTGTGTTCAGGTACTGCTGAAGCCAAAACAGATGTCTCCACCTTCGTCCATGCCTTTCATAGTTGGCCCTTCAAAAAACTCCTATGGCCCTAGCTGGTTTGGCTCAGTGGATAGAGTGTCAGCCTTCGGACTAAAGGGTCCTGGGTTCGATTCTAGTCAAGGGCACATGCCCAGGTTGTGAGTTCAATCCCCAGGAGGGGGCATGCAGGAGGCAGCCAATCAATGATTCTCATCACTGATGTTTCTCTCCCTCTCCTCTCTAAAATCAATAAAAACATTTAAAAAAACACAACTCCTATGCAGCCTACCCAATGTCTCACAGGGGCCACCTTTGTCTGCTCTGGGCCCATGTCAGGAGGATGCACTATCCCCTCTGCTTCTTGTTTGCCTGTTACCATCAGGAAATTCCCGTTATTCTCATTCTCCTTCCCTGCTTACGTTAAATGGGACCAAATCCAGTTCTCTTTTGGTCCTCAGGAATTTTGACTTAATTAGCTCCTCTCTTTACATTACCCTGTCAAGTCCCTTATTGTAGAAACAATATCTTGCAAAGTCAACCCTGCATCCTCACATTCCCTAAGAGGTGCAGGCCCATACTGTGCTATTTGCCTCCCTTTGCTCCACCATCCAAAGTGTCCCACTCCAAAGGCCCAACTCTAGTTTTTCCTGGAACCAGTATATACCCACCTCTTTGCCTTGAAAACGTCAGAAGAAAAATTGTGCTATGGGATCAACCAAGAAGTAGTCTCAATAGCTATTGCTCAGCTGACACTTAACCTCACTGCCTCCTATCTGTCTCTGCATACCTCTGCTAATAGCTGCAGAAAAAAACAGCTGACTGCACAATAAGCCTACAGGTTCCCATTGCGTAATGAGCCTAGAACATTGAGATATTCCCTTTACAATGAAAAGAACATGGACTTTGAGCAGACTTGGGTTTACCTCCTGATTACTAACTAGTCTGTCTTAGTTCTATTAAATCTTGCTAAACTACAAAAGACTTATCTGTAAAATAGTGGTAATGTGTAGTTATACTAAACAGTGTATAAAGCACATAATATAATATCTAAATCGAATGAATTCCCTGGTAACCATTCACTTCCTTTCTTCCCCTTGGGTTTCAGCTGGCAAATACTATTCAGAAGGGAGATTAGCCAGTTTTGTGTGGCCAATGATAGACATTTCCTATTCCTGTCTTTGTAAACACCATCTTCCTGCAGCCATCCCATTTCCATCATTGCCAAAAAAAAAAAGTCATTCCATCCCTCATCCCTGTATAGGATTTCTCTTTCTCTTATCATCAAAAAGTTCTACCTGAGCCCTAGCCGGTTTGGTCAGTGGATAGAGCATTGGCCTGCGAACTGAAAGGTCCCAGGTTCGATTCCCGTCAAGGGCACATGCCTGGGTTGTGGGCTTGATCCCCAGTGGGGGACTTGCAGGAGGCAGCCAATCCATGATTCTCTCTCATCATGGATGTTTCTCTCTCCCTCTCCCTTCTTCTTTGAAATCAATAAAAATATATTTTAAAAAAAGTTCTACCTGAACTCTATCCTCTTCTACATCTCCTTAGTCCAAGATATTTTGTTGTCTTATGTCATTTTAAAAAATTAACTTCTAACATTCCCCCTAATTTTCTCAGAGTAAATTATAATGGACCTGTGAAATAGGGCCTTAATCTTTCATAAGGGCATGGGAACCACAGGTCAATTCCCAGAGTAGAATGGAGGTCTCGGTCCAGGCACTCCCCCACCCCAACCCCATCTCTTTTCCTACAGGGCACAGAAACAGCCAAATTCAAAATATGTCTTGAGTCTACATAAACACATATCTCCTTTCCTATAGCTCTGTGAGGTCATCGTTGAAGTAGAGCAGTATTGCAGGTGTGTGGAGTGTACCATCCATATTGAGATAATCAAATTCTTCCTCCTCATCCTGGATCCCATTCTCTTCCAGGGTACATTCCATGTTCAGGTTCTTCCCTTCATATTTCCATGTGTAGCTGGCAGCATGTGCATTATAGGGGAGATAGCGGTGTAGGATTTCCCACATTGATTCTAGGGCCCCCACCTGGAGAACACAAAAGCACCCCACTCCTAGAATTCTGGGTGGAACACACACACACACACACACTCCAAAGGCCAAGAGCCCCAAAAATGAGCTGGGATCAGAGCGCCTCCCTTGGCAGATAGCTTCAGACATTCCACAGCCCCAGAAATGAAGTTGGAGCTCCAGCATGCAATGAATGGCACTAAAGACCTACCTGTCTGTGTGGCAGCCACTTCTAATAGATGGCCCTAAAGGTCAAAGTCATGTCACTGCCCCATAACTTCATCCCCACAATAGACTATTAAGAGTCCAATTGCATTTGCTGTTCAAAACACAGCATGTAAGGTTTCCATGGACCACCAGCACTAAGATACATAAATTGCTGCCCTGAACTTATAAAGGAGTCCATTACACCCTGTGACCCAGCCACTGGGGACCGGTGGTCTGCTTTCCTGGCTTGCACCTAAAAGGGGGTGAAAATACAGCTCTCACCGGTTTTGGAGAGCTGATGGCCTGAAGATCTGCTTGGAGATTTCCTGGGGTTCCCAGCCCCCTCTAACCTGCCCCCAGGCATCAGTGCTCACCTCCAGTGTGTGCTCCTGCGACGTGAGTGTGTTAATGATCCGGATGTTCCGGGTTTGGGCGGACAGCCGACCCACTTCATAGCGCGTCCCCTGCCACCAGGGCTTCCCGAAATCATTGGCCCAGTCGGAGCGAGGCAGCTGAGGTGGGATATGCAGAAAGCGGCCCCGGGGGGTGCGGTATCTCTGGGCACCAGTCATCGGATCTATGTACATTCGGATCTTCAAAGCAGGTTTGGGGGAGGGAGGTGGGAGCAGTCACTATCTCGGGCTCTGGCTAGCCCCTCTTTTTCCTCCCCATCCTCACTTTCCAGTGCTTCCCCCGCCACACACACACACACACACACACACCCAACACCAGGCAGAACTCACGTCTTTGGTCTTTGGGTCAAACCAGTGGCTGATGTCCTGACCCGCAACTTCCACGATGGGTTTCAGCAGCAGGTCTCCTGGGAAGGCACAGCCGCCGTCAATGCTAGCCGCCCGAGAACGAGGCACCCACAAACACCCCGCAGCGGACCGAGTGTGGCCCTTACCTTTGTGTTTTTGTGCCAACGGCGTTAGGTCGTATACGGATCCCAGGTAAGACACCCAGAGGTCGTCCGGTTGGTTATGTTGGGCCACCTCAACCGGCGTGAAATACCGACGCCGGAAAGTCTCAAAGTCTGGCCCGGCAACTAGGCCCCGGCGTGGCATGGCTCTTGCTCTACTGGAAGCCGGCTCCTTTAAATTTCTTCCTCGCCCCTCAGCACACGCTCATTGCTACACCCGTCCTCCCTCATCCTGGAGCTAAGACCAGAGCGTTTACCCGCTGACATGGAAACCATTGTCCCTTTTCAGCCACCGTCTAGGGGTCAAACGCTGGGTGGGCGAAGAGTGGCGTCGATCCATGGGAAACGTAGTTTGCTTCCCGCTTTCAAATAATTGAGTTACGTCCTCAAGAACTCCGGGGAGAATTCAGAGTGGCCTGGGCTACAGGGGATATTTAGGACAGACTTTCTCGCGAGGCAGAAAAACAAGGGAGAGTTGTGCGATTCTGAAAAAATATATTCTTGCTAAATTCCAGGGTTCTTAAAGAACATGTAAAAATTAGAGGTAAAGTTTCTCGCGATATCTTAATACATCCGGCATAATAGAACTCAGTGAGACACAGCGCTGGAAGGTAGAAGCTCGCGAGATCTCTGCAGTTTCCGAAGAGAAGAGGAGGAGGAGGAGGAGAGGTGATCTCGCGAAAGAAAAGCTGCCGGGAGAGCTCGCGAGATCTCAGACCACCGGACCCGAAAGGTTCTTAGGGAGTTGAAGGGCCTGGAGGCGGCCCCGGAAGAAATGGCGGGAGCTGGGCCGACCATGCTACTACGAGAGGAGAATGGCTGTTGCAGCCGGCGTCAAAGCAGCTCCAGCGCTGGGGTTAGCGCGGGCTTGGGTTCCGAGATTGAGGGGCAGTCGGGGAGCAAGATGGGGGGATGGTGGGGGGACTGCAGCTCCCGGCAGCCTCTAGGATTCGTGTGAGCGCCCCGCGGGCTGTCGGGAGCTGTGGTTCCGTGGGCGGGCAGCAGCCTCGGCGGCGCGGTCTGAGCTCGTGTACTGCCCCGCGCAGGACTCAGACGGGGAGCGCGAGGACTCGCCGGCGGCGCGCGCCCGGCAGCAGCTGCAGGCGCTGCTCAACAAGACCATGCGCATTCGCATGACAGACGGACGGACGCTGGTCGGCTGCTTCCTCTGCACCGACCGCGACTGCAATGTTATCCTAGGCTCGGCGCAGGAGTTCCTCAAGCCGTCGGGTCAGTGCTCGGGGAGTGCACCGCCTGGGAATGCGGTGGAGCCCCACTCAAGGCAATTCCCCTTTAGTGCCTGGCTGCACCCCTTATTTTGGGAGGCTAGAAGTCGTGGCTCAAAAGGGGCGGGACCGACGCTGGCTGGCCTCCCTGATGTTCTGACCCTTCTTTCCAGATACCTTCTCTGCTGGGGAACCCCGTGTGTTGGGCTTGGCCATGGTACCCGGACACCACATCGTTTCTATTGAGGTGCAAAGAGAGAGCCTGTCGGGGCCTCCCTATCTCTAACCATGATCGCGCATGCCTTTTAGACTTCATTAAACCTGTAACCCAAGTGGCCTGTGTGTGTGTAGCTGGGATGCCTGGACAGAGATCGCACTTCCCACCCCTAGAGGGGAGGTTTATCTGAAGTCAGAAGCACTGTCAGCCCTCCTTCCACCACCTAGACTTCCAGGAGTGCCACAGGTCCCCTCAGGTTCGCGGGCGGGGATGGGGGACAGGCTGAGCTTCGGACCAACAGGTCCCAGGGTGGACCCCTCCATCTTCCCTCCCACGCTGCTGCTCCAGAATTGTGGCGGGAGGGGGTGTCATCCTGCTCCGGAAGGTCCATTGTTTCCCTTCCCGGCCTGGCAACACCGAGTTCCTCTAAGCTGGGGTCAGAGAACGGGCTCGGGTCCCCAAGGGGAGCAGGGCAAGCGACAAAGCCCAGGCCCTCTCCACTCTATTGATGGGGAGGTGGCTTTGGGGTCAGGGACAGAGCTTGGGTCTGGTCAGGAAGAACAGGCTGATGCGATAAGGGAAGGCCAAGAGGCTGGAGGATGCTCCCGTCTGCACACTTGAGCCACACCCCCTCCCATGTTTCCTTCTCCTGGGCACATAGCAGTAGTGGTAGTATTTGCACCGCCCCTCTGCTCACAGGATCCAAGAAGCACATTCAGTTCATTAATTCTTTATTAACGTGTGGTCACTCCTTCCCCTCCAACCTCACCCATCAGCCCGTAAATACTAGCGGAGCTGCGCCGGAAAAGGAGGGCACCAGTGAGGCCCAGTTGTCCTATTCACGGGGTGGGGAGCGTATGTGCAGGGTCCAGCCCAGATATTCAGGATTCAGACATGGGTAGTAAAAAGAAAGGGTTTTCTGGAATGGCGAATTTTCACCAACATTGGGTCCACAGATGCTGCAGTTTGCCAAGGGGATGCTAGGACTGGCTTAGGCAGGGAAGGGGCAGGGTAGGTCGGAAGACCCCCAGGCTTCAAGTCCTTGGGCGGATTGAAAAGGAGGGCATTCGTCGGGGTTGTTCTTGACTCGAGGGTCCTCAAACCCATACCTTTCCTGACGTGGGAACGGCCTGGGACCCCGGTGAGGCCCGGATTTGCCGCAGCTGCGGGGAGCGCCGGCGCCGATAAAGGGCTCGGCTGTAGGGCACGAGGCAGTCGGCCAGATGGAGGCGCAGACAGAGGCGGCGGTAGCTGGCCAGAGCAAGGACGAGCAGCGGCACGAGTAGCAGGAATCCGGTGACCAGCAGGGCCGTGAAGCCTGGGTCCCGCAGGTGCGCGGTGCAAGGGGGTGCCTGGGAGCGCAGAAACTGTAGACGAGGTGTCAGGCCCAAGCCGAACAGTCCAGGCGAGAAGTTGTGGCCCATAAACCCCGCACCCGTACTCGCACGCACACCCTGGGGCGCCCGCTCACCTGGGAGTGGCAGAGGAAGCCAAAGCTTAGCATGGTGACCGCGGGTAGCAGGATGGTCCCCAGCACCAGCGCCAGCAAGAGGAGATTGAAGGCAGCCACCAGCAGATTCTGGGCGGTGACCAGCACAGCACAGGCCCAGCAGTCCAGGGGGTCCCGGGGCTCCGGGCCGCCGTTGGGAACCGGTCTCTGCAGCCCGAGGACATCCGCCATGGCCTGCCTGGCTCCAGCCCGCCTGGGCAGCGGCCCTTATAGCCCTCTTTCCTGCCCCTCCCCCGGCCCAGCCTCTCCCCACCCCGCCCCCCTTATCCTGGAATGCGGCTCCAGGAGTAGGCACCCCCCCAGACCAGAGCTCTGGACATTCCACAGGCGCCTCTGGGGAGGGGTTCCCTCTGGCCGGGGTCTGGGCAATCTCTCCATCAATCACGGCTTGCAGCCCTTCTTCCCAGTATTCTATCATCAGCACACTAAAAACAGGATTGTTTTTTTCTGGTTTTATTTTTAATATTAATATTCTCACACAAAAATCACCGAAAATAGGGGTAGGATTGGGAAGACCCCTCTGCCCCTGGGGCAGAGAGACAGTGCAGTGCGAGGGGCGGGACTGTAAACCCCCCACCCCTCCGCAGCCCCAGCATGGAGGAGAAAAAACTGACAACACGAAAATAAAGCCCCAGAGAAATTCTTCCCGGGGTGTCCCTGCCCCAGGGAGGCCCTGACCCTGGGCTGTTTCACACTTAAAAAGAAAAGGGTGGGGCGCAAGGGGAAGGTCCATGTTTTTAAAATTGGCCGGGGCTGGGAAGGACGGGGTTCCTTTTCCTCATAGTTCTTTCTTTAAAACTTTTAAATTTTTTTATTTTATTTATTTTTTTACAAAATACCATTTCAGTTCCCACTTCTTCCCCTACAGTACAGGAGTCGCTCACCCTCAGGCAGGGCTGGGGTCGGGTCGGATGGGGCGAGGAGGGTCTGGTCCAAGAAAGTGCAGGACGTAGGGGAGGGGAGCGGATTTGAGCACCATGAGAGCCCGGCTGGAGCCGTGGACGGGCGGGCGGAGACGGGCGGGCCAGGCCGGGCCCGGACACACACTGGGGCGCAGGGAGAGCCCTGCGGCGGGCGGCCCTGGAGGGGTGGGTGGGATAGTTTGGGGGGTGCGGGGGGTCGGGTTTTCCCAAAAATGAATAAATAGGTGAGTGGGACTGTTATAAATTAAAAACAAACAAAAAAACAAAATACAAATCATAACCAAGTGAATAAACAAGAGACATGTACAGGGATCACAGCTAGCATTGGGAATAAAAAAGGAGGTTCTGAGGGAGGGGTAAAGCCCATAGAAAGAATCTCATTAAAATCCTCGGCTGCCGTCACATTTATGTACATACACGAGCCGCGTGCATCTGCGCCGGGCAGGCGGCGGGCAGGCGTGAGGGAACCCGTATTGACCCCCGCCGCCGCCGGAGCCTGGTCCTTGTGTCTGTTGCTAAAAAGGCCAAAGTCGGTGAGAGGAGGCGCTGGTGGGCGAGGGGCTGCCAGCCCCCTCCCCCGTCTCCCTTTATTTTTTTTTTTCCTTTTTTCCTCATATTTGTTTAAAAAAATTTTTTTCTTAATAAATTAAGTGAAGGGGAGCTGCCAATGGGGTGGAAGGGCTGTGCCCGTCCCCCTTCCCGGCCAGAGGCGGGACCTAGGTCCAGCCCAGGCCTGTGCTGGTGACCCCGCGGCGCCCTGCAGGCCGGCAGGAGGGCGGGGCATCCGGCCTCATCGAGACGTGCTGGCGGGGGCCTGCGGGGAGAAAGCGGGCGGGGGGCTCAGGAGTGGGTCGGCCCACCCCGGAGCCCGCCCCCTCGGGTCCCGCCCGACGGCCCGCCCCGCGCCGCTGCGCCGCGGCCTCACCAGCGTGAAGGCGTCGTAGGCCTGCGCCAGCTCCTCGGTGCGGTACTGCTCCAGCACCACCACGCCCTGCAGGCCCGCGCTGCGGCGGCGGGCACAGGCCTCGCAGTGCACCAGGTAAGTGTTGCGGCTGCCGTTCTCGCTCGTCACGAACAGGATGTTGAACACCTCCACCTGGGACAGAGGCGGGCCGTCACCGGGAGGAACGCCCTGGGGCTCCTTTCTCCCAGGAAGGAGGGAAGCGGGCCCACTCACGTCGCATTCGTTGCAGTAGTAAGCAGGCTCGTCCTTAACCCGGCCCTGGTAGGCGATTTTCTTCCCTGCCCGCACGAGGCTCTCCCGCTGCACCTGGCAGTGCTTCATGGACTGCAGGAGGCAGAACCTGGGCGTGGGGGAGGGCGAGTGGTGTAAGGTAGGGCTGCTAGCAAGGCGGACCGTGGCCCTCATTTACTAGGCCCCCTTAACATTTCATGTGCGTTTTTATCTGTTTGGGCCACTGTCAAGTAAAATTCCGGGGAGCAGGAACCGGGTCACCTGCCCCAGCACTGTAACACCGCAGGGCCGCGAGTAAAGAGTGGAGAGAGCCGGGGAACGGGGCTGCATTCTAAGGCAGAACAAGAGCGGGACCAGGTCTGGTGGAAACGGGCTCCCTCTCAAGTAGGACCCTCACTTGATCATCTTGAACAAATCGGGGTCGCTGATTTTGACGGTGCGAGCCACGTTCCAGGACACGTGAATCATGGGCACAATGGATTTGACGTTCTTCACCTCGTTCCACTCATATCGTTCCAGGGCCAGCTGGTATTGATAGGCTGTGGGCCAGAAGCAGTCACTACAGGATTCTCAAACAACTCCCAGCTACTTGGACCCCAGCCCCTTCCCTCACAGCTGGCTGCCCTCCTCTCCCCCGCCAGGAGGCTCCAACCCCCTCACCCCTGAGTGTCTCTGCACACCACCCTCTCACCGGTGAGGGGCCCAACGTTCCAGGCGATGTTGTTGCACCAGCCAGTGGCCTGCACCCAGTGCACGGTCCCCGCGTTAATCCACACGAGGTCTCCAGGGCGCTGCACGAAGCGGTACACGGGGATATTGGAAGCATAGAGATCGTCCAGGATTGGCCACCAGGAACCTGTCAGGTAGTCCACACCGTGCCTGTGGGGTGGCCACAGGGTCAGATGGAAACCTGGGGACTCAGAGATGGGACATGGGGGGTGGGCCTAGTGTGTGTGTGTTTGGGGGGGGGGGGGGGCGCGCACCGGTCGCAGAAAGCGCTGATGGTCTCCCAGTAGTGTTCATGCACCGCGAACCACTCACAGTCGCCTGGGCCTATGTTGATGTTGACAGAGCAGAAGTTGTTGTTCTCTTGGTGGCCTGCAGGGGGCAATAGAGAACGCCGTGGCTGGCCTAGCCGAGCTGAGCTCCTTCCCAAGGCCACCCTGTGGCCCTCATTGGCTGAAAGCAGCACCGACACCAGCCCCGCCCCCAGCGCGCAGTCTGCACCTGGCGTTCGGCTGCCGGGGACCTTCATGTACAGCTGTACCGTGTTCATGCCCAGAATCGTGTGGCCCACGTGGCTCAGCATGTTGCCGGTAGACGTTACCCGCATGAAGGCGGGCAGCTTCAGCAGCTCCTGCAGTTGTGGCTTCCACCTGCGGCGGCGAGGGAGTCAATAAAAGTGAGAGGCTATCCCCGCCCTGCAGACCCATCAGCAATCCTGCCCCAGCTTTGCTGGCCTCAACCCCACTGACCGCTTGGCATCAGACAGGTCGATGTTGGTGCCAAACTTGATAATGTGATGGTTCTTCGGATCTGGTGTGCTGCTGTGGGGGTGAAGGGCACATATTGGTGGCGAAGCATAGGGAAGGGAGTAAAAGTCACCAAAGGAACGGGCGTACTGTACGGTACCTAGGAGGCGTTCCTGTGGTGCTGTCTGGTTCCTCGGACTCCTCATCCTCACTCTCCTTCTCCTCCTGCTTGGCCACAGGCTGAGTCAGCCACCTTCCAGGAGCCCTCCCTCAGCAGCCCCACTCCAAGTCCCCTGATCCGCATCCCTGCTTCCCTATGCTTGCCTCTCACCTGTAAGGACTCCTGAAATGATGAGGCCTGGTACTGCGCATACTTGGCAATGGTGGTATGGGAACGGGAACTCTCACAGGGCCAGATCTGTCGAGTGCCCGTCAGATCCCAGTTCTCATCTGAGGGCTGCTGCACCTGGGTGCGCACCTCCACGGTGTGCTCACCACTCGCCTCCACCAGGGTCTTGGTGGAGAAGAGGCCCAAGTCTGCAAGGGAAGAAGGAGCAGGGTGTCGGGGAAGAGGCAGAAGGGAGGGATCGAGGACCCAACTCACTCTGTCCCTTCTTACTCCTCAAGCCTCTGACAGGCTGGACATTGGCTTCACAGAGGTAAAGCCAGGGAACAGGCAGAAAGCTGGGAAGGTTGGCCATCCCTCATCAACCTCCTCTCCCACTGCTGCTCTGAGCTTCAGTTCCTCCACCAGTTCTCAGGTATGCACGAGGCCACATGGGCACAGCACTTGGCATATAGTAGGTGCTTAATGAGTGACACATTCTTTAAGCGATCATTAGATGCAATGAAAGACTTAAGTCAAGTGAAAGCCTAGAGCGTGCTTTGAGTAACTCAGTAGAAGGAAAATATATGGGTATAGAACAGCGGTTCTCAACCTGTGGGCCGCGACCCCTTTGGCGGTTGAACGACCCTTTCACAGGGGTCACCTAAGACCATCCTGCATATCAGATATTTACATTACGATTTGTAACAGTAGCAACATTACAGTTATGAAGTAGCAACGAAAATAATTTTACGGTTGGGTCCCAACATGAGGAACTGTATTTAAAGGGCCAGAAGGTTGAGAACCACTGGTATAGAGGCAACAAGACTGATTTCTATATTTCTATATGGTTCCCTCTACTTTTATGTGTTTGAAATTTTGCACAATAAAGGTTGAAAAAGAGAAGCCTCAAATCATGGGTCTTCAGGGGGTACTCTAGAATCTATTCTTTTCATCCTTAATCACCAAGAAAACTAAAAATGACTAACCAGGCCCTGAGATATATCCCTTTCCCACTTCCCTACTGTTGGAAATACAGATGCGAGAAAAGCCTGAGGCCAGCTCACCCATCACGCAGAGCGTCCTTCAAATATAGCCTCCCTATGACTAAGGAAAGCTCACTATAGCCACTATCCTGGATCTTCAAGAGTGGGGGCTCTCAGAGTCCCAAAGCCCCAAATCCTTGCATCCCTCCCCACTTTTCTGTCCCCCACACTCACTGAGCCGCAGGGAACCTGCCAGGCCCCGGATCACGGTGATGGGATTTCGAGGGTCTGTACAGAACTGCAGCAACACTGGTGAGAAGGCGTCCCGTTTGCTCTCCAGCTGAGGGACGACCAGAAGACAGGGCTAGATCAGAGCCCTGTCTCAGGCTCAGAGCACCCCAACAGCCCCCAACACTGGCACTGAACCCTCTGGCAGGGGCACACATACATAGATGCTGGGTGTGGGTGGGTTGAGTTTTTCCCGGGGCAGCTTCTCCTCTGTGTTGATCTTCGGCTTCACAGACTGGGCAGGGGAAAGGTAGGACTCTCTAAACTTCCCTTTCACCTTGGCATTCCTGTGGGAGGACAATGAAATGAGGACAGAAATAGGGTGATGGGGGAAGGGAGCCTCCCCCTGGGCCAGGCCAGCAGCCTCATGGGTGCCAGTCCCTCACTCACTTGCTGGCACGCACGACGTCGGCAGCACAGTGGCTGATGGTGAGGTCCGCCATGCGCAGCCTCCGCTCTTCCACCTCCGAGGCGATGAAGGTCTCCTTGTCACCACTCTCTACCTTGATCAGCCGGATCTTCAGCTCCTTGGGAGGCCCTTCACTAAGTGATCGCAGCTTCAGCATATCAGCCCGGCTGACACCCGGTGGCCCTGGAGCTTCCTCACGAGACTTCTTCCCAGGGACAGGGGCTGATGATGCAGGTGTGGGCTGAGCAGAGGGTGCAGGAGCTGGTGGAAGGGCCGGAGCTGTGGGTGGCTTAGCCTTTGAGGCCCCACCAGTATCAGGCCGGGCCTTCTCACGACCCTGGATCTCCTCACTCTGCAGGTCCAGGTTCCCCAGCACTCGGCGACTCTTTTCTTTGGGGGCCTTGGCCTTGGCCTTGACCCTGCCCTC